AAATCTACTATCATCCTAATTGTTTTATCCCATAGGTAAAATGTTTTTTACTCATCACCTTTGTAATTCTTTTGTTTTTAGTTCAAAATTTTTATCTTTATTATTTCAGTGTTTGATTATAATGTAAAATTGTCTTTTGTTTCATTCAGTTGGGTGGGGTAGAAGTTCTCTCCACTATGTCATAACTCCTTGGCTTAGTGTGTAGAGGCCAAAGCCTCATTGCTGTTCCCCACGTGGCCTCCACTGACACTGCAGGAGGTTATATGACCTCATTATCTTGAGGCAGTAACGTAAGTACTGAATCTCAACAAGGCATCCTTCGATACCACCCCACAAGAAAGCAAGATAGAACCTCAATACCATGGGTTGGAATGGGAGGTCAGACTCACACTTGGAGGTTGGGAGGAGGCTTGTTACTGCCTAGCAGGGACAATGATCTCCTGCTCCCCATCTGGTCCTCTCTGACACCACTGTGGAGGTGTTGGAAGAACCTCTTTATAGCCCAATGAGGATGAAAGCCTCGCTTCCCCTACTTGGCCTCTGCTGATGTGCTTGGGGACAGGGCCAGTTTTAGAAGTCTCTGCCTGGAGCACAGCAGTTATTGCCTAAAAAGTGTTCTGCCTTGTAGGCTGCTGTTTCCTAGTTCTTTGATTAGAGAGTCAGGGGTGGGGTGCTTTTTTTTTTTTTGACTGCCCTCATTGGTATTTGCAAGTTGCCAGCTTCTTCAGCTATAAGTCTGTATGATGCAAAACAAAAACCAGAATCTACCCCCATGTTGTTTCTTGAGGTCCCAAGGTCCCCAGAGGTAGTCTGCTGTCTGCCCACCTTTTAGAGTCATCTTACACTTGTTTTACATATAATCTCCAAGGGTTTTAGTTGAACTTAGGGAAATGCACGTCTGCTTTATCCTCCTGGTAACACAAGTCTTAAACAACCTCATTGCAAGATATCCTTACCGAATCCTCTGATTCTTTGACTGGTTCTGTGGTATTTCATAGCAGCCATAAAGATGCATCTTGCCTCAGCAGCATAAGTGGTTTCATAACTAGCACAGTCCCTCATACATTCAATAAATTTTATGGAATTAATATCTATCAATTAATTAGAATTGTAACTGGTAATTTACAAATTATAAACAGTTGGGTTTGAATTTCTATGAAGTTAAGTGGCTAGAGGACATAGAATCAGTTTTATGAGTTAAATGAGCTAATGGGAACTATAATGGATAGTATCTTTCCTGGAACATATAAGGAATTTAAATTGTGACCTTTAATTAAGTCCTAGTGTTTTCCAGGAAGTTTACTTAGTAAAAAAAAAAAAAA